CTGGACATTGTTGTACCTCTTGACAGCTGATAAAGCATCCTGTCGATGTGAGAAGACAACTTCTGCTGTTCCCTAAAGGAAAGAGTATATCTAAATTGCAGTGATACATAATGAATTCTTCAGAAGACCACAATATGGCAAACTTTATATGATACCTTTGACCTCCCGCTCCTATCATAATGTATTGAATATCGTTTCAGGTCACCAACCTCTGCAAAGAGTTCCTGCACAAAGCTTAATTCTATATTAGAAAATCCAACCAACAAAATATCCTCATTCTGGACACTTCCAACAGTATTAAGGAAAACATATATACAATGAAAGCAAATTCAGAAGAAATTACTATGGGCAAAAACTACAAAATCACTTAAAAGAAAAAATACAAGTCACAAAGCAGGAGTAGGAGCGAGGGAAAAAGAGAGAGTGGGAGCAAAAGAGTAGAACTTAAAACTTACTAAGAGGAGTAACATCTTTAGAATGCATACAATAGTAAACTTATGTTACCAATATATATAACATATATATATATATAAGTTAATGTATATAAATGTACTGATAAGAAATTAATATAATCAAAAAATTGTTCCATAGTGGGTTTAAAGTGGAATTTGAATATATTTGGTCATAGGATAATAGGGGTGGCCACGGATCAGATCGGATTGGATTAGCCATCAATCCTAATCCAATCCGCTCCCAACGGATTGGAAAAATCTGAATCCGCCATCGATCCGTTATCCCACGGATCGGATCAGATCCGTTGGATGACAGATCAGATCCGCGGATTGAGATTTTCCCAAAATAGTCCAATATTATTTATTTTTTAACCATAACCCAATAGATAAAATTTAATTTATCACCATTAATTCATATATTTAAATAATAATATATTCTTAGAGTTCATTAAATGATCATCAATTAATTAAATTCACTAATACATTCTTTGAATATATATATATATATATATAAATCTCACGGATTGGATTAGATTTTTAACAGCCCAATCCGTGAGCTATGGATTCGATTTTTTTGAATCCGCCACCAATCCGTGGGTGTAGCAATCCGATCTGATTCGATCTGCACGGATCGGACCAGATCAGATCAGTTTCTCGGATTATTTGCCCACCCCTAATATATAATGAAAACTATGTAAATTAAATCAAAATAGCACTTTGTAAAATCTAAAAGTGTGTTTTTTTTCAATGTGACCAGCGTGCCTTAAAACTTATTGCACATGTTATCAATATCCATTTGTCATAATGAGGCCGTCACATATGACACATTCCGCTGTTTGAATATTTACTAGTGAGATCATAATTTCAGTGTAGTCCCTTTTCCTCTCTTTTTCCACAAGAGCAGCCCTAGCCAGATACCAATGGAGAGAAAAAAAAAAAAAAAACTAATTTTCTCAAGAAAAAGGAAGACCCAATGAGAAATCGTCACTCCGCGGATCAGGAACCAGATCAGCATGGACTTCTGGTGCATTTTGTCTCAAGCACAGCATCATAACCCCCCACCAAAAAAAACAGCCAGGGCATGGATACATGCTACACACTGCCCTTTTATTCTTCTTGGAAAAAAAATAAAAATAAAAATAAAAAAATAACCTAACCTCAGGGAAAAAAGAACTTCAGTGATTTAAAATAAAGATTCTTCTCTCTCGTACGGACAATCATTGTCACACTCCTGGACTTTGAAATTGATGAAAATTTTGATAAGAATCATTAGAATAAGATGAATTCATGAATCTGTGAAAGCCGGTTTGTGGGTTGGGGCCAAATCCACACTCAAACCACTTATTTGCGCTCTGAGTGCAGGAGCGGCACCATCCCCGCGAATCAAACATTGAACCTATGTCGAATCATGAATAGTTTGATATTACTAATCTTCTTACTTGACGGTGACAATGAGTAACTAAATTCCAAGTTATAATTGTTATTTAAAAAAAAACAAAAAAAAACATTAAGATTCAAATAATACATCGGTTCAATTGATAGTGTAGATTTATAGGATGTTTGGTGTCGTGTTTGGAAAGGCTAAAACGCACTTATAATTTTGTGTCAAAATAAATTACTTTTCAGTGTTAGCCCCTTTAACCTATTAGAGCTTTTTAGTCAAAGTTCAAATTTGGAGCTTTTTTAGTTGTGTTTGCAAGTACAGGGAAAAACTTATACAATGAGTCTAATTGTGGAAAGAGAATATTTATAAAATCTATTTTTGTATGCATCACTGATTCACTAAACACGATTTGATCTTTCACAAGCAACACCTTTTTACAAATCTACATTAAAAAAAAAAAAGAAAAAAAAGAGAAGTGCTTACTACATGCTATAACAATGCCAAATGCACTTAGTAGACGACAAATAAACTCTATCAAAGCACCTATCATTTCGTTGGCTTTGACAAGAAAAGCTACTGCGGTTGCTAACCAAGGTAAGAATCCTGCTAAAGATAAATTTGTAGAACCAGAATACTCTTTTCTCGTCCAACTTCAGTTCCAAGACATTATGTTACTAAAGCTAATCATATGGACCAACAAATTGATCCTGAGAAATAAATCTTGAGACGGTTGTCGGATTTGAAGAAAAACAAAGGAATAAAAAGATAAAATTAGTAGTGCCCAATTTCTTTATCTCAACGGAGTTGAGTTTTGAGAATGTTAGATTCTAATTTTTTTTTTGGTAAGTGAGAATTTTAGATTCTATTTGTGTGATGAAAAGTAACCATTGTCAGTGAAAACCATGAAATACACAAGAATCCAGGCAAAACTACAAAATTCTGTCTCTTCTCCTCCTATACTTTTTTCTTTAGCTATCCATATTTTAACCAGTGTTTCAGACATAGAAAACTGAATATAATCGGCCCAAAACCCACTCTTTGCCTCTGCCCTACATAGATTTTGGTACGGAAAGCTTGTAATACTGTCCCTCCCATTTGTGTTACATCATTAGACCATTACAGTAATTGATGCGAGTCAGAGATTCCAAACCTGGAAATCTAAAAGCAGCTTTGCACATATCTTGCAAGTTAAAACGATTGTACCCTAGAAAATTATTCCAAATTATTGAACCGATACACCTTCAAAAAGAAGACAATGGTATTCATATAATGTCTACTTGGTGACAAATAACAAGTAGAGACTGAAATCCTGGCAGCTCAAAACACCCCACTAAACCAATTAAAATCCCCAATATTTTCTATGATAAAAACTGCAATGCCTCGTCTTGTGAAAATTGTCATAACCTATATAGCATTATTGCTGTTTATAAAATTAGAGATGAGAATAAAATTAGGTACACGAACACGGTTTTCACCATATCTGACAACAAAATCCATAAAACAACCTTTTAAGAAGAAAGACAATAAAATATCCGATGAACATTGAAACACACACACACAAAGAAAAAGAAATAACGAAAAAAAAATACCTTGATGTCCTCGTTAGAGACACCATAATCCAACTTTGAGATGTAGAGCTTGGTTCCAGTTTCAATAGAAGAGGTCGACCGCCAATTTGTGAAGGGTGCGCCATAGCCTGATCTGCACCAAACATGTCGTGCTTCCACGTCGAATCTGGCGCCTGAATCCAATGATTTTTTTTTCACATAACTAGTACCAAAAAGGCTTCCTTTGGGCACGAATCAAGAAAAATGAAGCTATCCAAACCCATGATCGATTCGATTATATATACGTATGTATAAGAAAGAGAGGTCGATTTCAAGAAACCTTAGCGGTGGTGTAGGGCGTAGTTCGATTAGCAGCACGGTTAGGGAAGCGGCGAGCGGGGCCAGGTCCGGAGGGTCGAGGTCGGCCCCTGAAGTTGGAACCTCCAGATTTCTTGTTGTTCTTGATGAGATCATCGAGGCTCATGTCCAAAGCTGCACCAGACATTTTGGGATTTTAAAAGAATTTATATGTATATATAGAGAGAGAGATTAGGGTTTTTCGTATCAGAAGGAGAGAAAAGGAGAAAGGACTATAGGGTTTCTCGTGACACAGAAAATAAGAGGATGGGAATAGAAAAGGACCAAGAGGAAGAAGTTCAAGATTCAAGAACAGAGAGAGAAGCGGGGAGGAAAGAACGCCGAGAGAGTTAGTTGCTTAGTACTTAAGTAAAAGGTACATTGGGTGTTATATTTAAATATATTTGTTTTAACGCGTCGAACAAACGGTGTCGTGGTGTAGTTGGTTATCACGTCAGTCTAACACACTGAAGGTCTACGGTTCGAGTCCGGGCGACGCCAATTTCTTTGTTATTTGTTTTTGGTCACACGAACCTCTTGTTTAATGGTTTTCTTTTTTCGGAAAGTGAAAATGGTTTTGTTTGTGCTTAAAATATACAATTTTGTACCTGACTTTTTTGTTTATTCATTTCTTTCAGTTATATTTATCCTTTTTGGAACTTTAATTTGGTATAACTGAAATCTAAACTTGTAAAAATAATTATGGAATCATGGAAAAAATATGTATTATCTCGGAAGTAGCGGTTATGGAATACTAGGCTAATAATACTTATTTTCTTCTTTCTGTTTTCTTACAAATATTCTTCCATCCTTGTATGTTTAGGCAAATAATTCAATACTTATTTTCTTTTTTTCACTTTTCTCACAAATATTCTTCCATCCTTGTATTTCCATTTACATCTAATTTTCATTCCTAAAACCAAAGAACACACAATTGTTTTGGATCTTACTTGTATAAAAGGATTGGACAACTTCATTTTAAACGTACATTCGATCAGTTCATTTCCAATGAGATTTCACCCAATCATATATATTAAATAATTGAAGTCATATGTAGAAGACATTATTTAAGACACCATTGAGGACCAAAGGATCTAGAAGTACATTGATAGAAATCACGACTTCAAGAATGATGGTGATTATATATCTATCTATGTATACATACAAGTATAATATGGAGTATATTTTGAAATGTAAAAACAAAATAAACTGCGTGCAACCTTGAATTAGCAGCATATGGTATTCGGATTTTGGACCAAATCAAAGCAAGGCTCGGAGCGCGTAGGCCGAACCGACCACAACCACAGCTAAGAAAACTGTGGATACGTAAAAGTCGAACACGGAGCTGTTGACTCGGTGAAGCGGCACGCACAGCATCTCTCCCGGAACGTCCAAAGGAAAACTAACGAAATCATCTGCGTTACAAGGCCGCGAGAAGGAAGATGACGGCGATACGGCGGAGACAAAGGCCAGAATTGGAGAGAAGATGGCCACGGCTGCAGTTGCCGTTAAAAGAACAGCCAATATTGCGGCCTCTGGTAGCAGCGGCCACAACACAGCGAGGCGTTGCATAATCGAGTGAGCAAACGAGAGAGACATGGCGATTAAAAAAGGACGAGGACTGAGGAGGAGAGAGCTTTTGGGCCTTTTTTTTAAAAAAAAAACTTTGCTGCGTTTTAGATTTTTCAGTTAGGTCTGGAGGGACGAAATGACATTTTAAATTACTAAACTAAACGACTGGCATTTCTCCAGGGACTACGTGGGTGCCATGATAAAGAAAGTTAGATATCATTTTTTTTTTTTTTTTATTAATTTATTAATTGATCATTTTGTGAATAAATCCGTATATAAATAAATGAAAACTATACACAAAGGGCATAAAACACGGGCCTAGAAAAAATCGGCCGGAATCCCAAGATGGAACCAGTCCATGGTAACAAGCTTTGCCATTTTTCAATAGTGAACAAAAGATATTTCAGGACGATATGGAGGTACGCACGAAAGTAATACCTAGCTGCAACAAAAATGATACCTATTTTTAACAAATTTTTTAAAAAATTCAATTGTTGTAGCTGATGGCACAAAAGTAGTACACAGTGAACAAAAGTGGTACTTGCACTCGACAACATTTAAAAATAATTCTCAATGTAAAAATGGCATATTAAGTGATTCAAAATAATCAATCTCAACAATTTTGAAAAACTTGTATTTGGAATTTGAAAAGTTTGACTTCATGTTATTATAAAAAAGATCCCCTAACTCATGTATATTTAAGTTTATTATTATTATTATTTTTTATAATAAAAACACGTTTTCTTGTGGTGGACATAAAAAGACACTACACTACTTTTGAATTTAAATTGACAGCAGAAAATACAAAAAAAAAATGGATAGAATTTTCCATCATAGAATATGATAAACTCCACTGAGACTCCCTAGGTTAGGTTAAATTTTATTCCTACAAAGATTTTGATTATAACTTCCACTTATATTTGAAAGTGTGGTTTCATATTTTAATCACACTCTAAAAAGTCATTTTTCAGTACTTTTTACATATAAAATAACAATATTACCTTTCTTACCTTTGTGTTGACTTTTTTTAATATATAAAATGACTTAACTACCCCAAAATCTATTTTAAATCACCAAAATATCTGAAAAATCAAACCAAATTTTCTTCACATCCCCACCCCACAAGCGATACCACCGGCACATTCCTTAACCCCACCGCCCACAACTTCCTCTCTCTGTATGCACATAAATCCCCGATGGCGAACTCTACCTCCATGTCGTTGTTCTTCCCTGCTACTCCATGCCTATTTCGAATTCGGATGTTGTTGGTATATGCAATATATATATATATATTACCCACAAAAGATAAACTGCACAAGAAATACATAGACAATGAGGTGGATAGAGAGTGTACGTGGTTGAGGAATTTGATTGTTGAATTTTTCCCCGACAAGAAGAAAGTTTTAAAGGAGGGGGGGGGGGGGGGGGGGGGGGCGCAATTGCAGAGAAGCGCGGCAAAGATCTTTGGTGTCTAAAACTGCCAAATTTGTCTTATTTTTCTCTCTCCTCAATCATTTTCTTCCTTCTTTGATTTAGGTCTTCTTTTTTTTTTTTTTTTTTTTTTTTCACCATAACGACACTTTGTTTTTTTACCAAATGACACACGCACGTATATATATATCACCACCACCCATCACCAACACCATATACCGTCGCCGCTGCATATATCATCACAGGTCCACCATCTACAGCCACATCCATCATCACCCCCCATAACCACCACCAATTTGACACCAAATCAAATTAAATAATTAACTTCCGAAAACAAATTGACACCACCCACAACCACCACCAAGCTTTCACCTTCGTCCCTGTCACAACATAACTTCCACCACAGAGAACCCGAGACCCAAAACGGAGCTTCGACGCAGTCATTTTTCTCTCTCCTCAATCATTTTCTTCCTTCTTTGATTTAGGTCTTCTTTTTTTTTTTTTTTTTTTTTTTCACCATAACGACACTTTGTTTTTTTACCAAATGACACACGCACGTATATATATATCACCACCACCCATCACCAACACCATATACCGTCGCCGCTGCATATATCATCACAGGTCCACCATCTACAGCCACATCCATCATCACCCCCCATAACCACCACCAATTTGACACCAAATCAAATTAAATAATTAACTTCCGAAAACAAATTGACACCACCCACAACCACCACCAAGCTTTCACCTTCGTCCCTGTCACAACATAACTTCCACCACAGAGAACCCGAGACCCAAAACGGAGCTTCGACGCAGTCATCACTGATTGCTCTGATTAGACGTCGACGCCCACTGTCACCAAACGAGTCTTCTCCAAAGCTCTCTGTCGAGATCGGAAGCGATCTTGAAACTTAGTCCCAAAACACCGTCGCCGGATTTGGACGGCCAGGCACGGACAATAGGACCAGTGGGGGCATCCATTTTTAATATTTTTATTTTATACCTCAAATATTTTAGAATTTATGAAGATGCCCCTACTAAAATTACAATTCGCCCCTTCTGAATTATTTTTTCATTTTTTACTTCAATTTTTTGATAATTTATGAAGATACCCTCACTAAAATTATAATTTACCTTCACTGAAATTCTCTTTTGCATTTTATACTTTAAATTTTTCAAGATTCATGAACAAAACCATATTGAAATTACAAAAATGGACCCACTCTATAAATTTGCCCCAACAAATTAAAAGGCCACCTTCCCTCACGAAATTTTCTGGGTTCGTTACTATGGACAGTAATACAGTTCCGGAGTCAAACAACAACGCCGTTGTGCACCGAAATCAACAATAAAATGCAGCACCGAAATTAACAACAGAACGCCGAGGACGGTCCTCCACCATACACGTATCAGATCTCGACCCAGAGGAGTCTGACAATTCCATTCACCGGAATCACTATCTGTGTTAGAGAGTGTAGAGAGAAAAGGAGAAGAGAATCTGGGAGAGAGTGTTGAAACGTGCCGCAGTTCGTTGCTGCACGATTTGCTAAACCAAAACTAATCTTTTTGTTTATTTTTCCATTTGCTTCTTTTGCCTATATGTTTCGTGTGTGTGATGGCTTATGTGAGAGAGTTAGAGAGAGAATAATGCAGAGGGGCATTTTATTGTCATTTAAATTTATAGATATTTTGTATTAAATTAGATTTAAAAATATAAGGGCATATGGGTCAATTTACATGTGTCAAATTTCAAAAAGTAATTTGAGATGTAAGTGAAAATTAAAACTAAAATCTTCATCTAAATAAAATTTGACCTAATTTGAGAAGGTGTCAGTATAATTAATCCTAAAATATGTTAAAAGACTCGCATGATATACAAGGTGACAACATACCTTTAACATATTTTGTCGCTCACAAAGATTAAATAGGTTTCATACAGAGACTATAATATGGTTTCATTAGCCTTTGTCATTAGTCAATAAGATTTTGTTATACCCAGCGCAAATGTATAAGTGCATTAACTTCTTCAATATATCACTTAACTCCCCACTTACTGCTGAGGGATCCAACAATTGTTGATGCGTCTAGCACCAAAAGACTTATCCTTATCCAGTACTATCATGTCATTAATATCTTAGTCACACAGTTCACGTCTGAGGGTCAAGCTCCTAAGTTCCGCACGCGGATCGGCGGATTGGGAGCGAAATCGTGCAAAATTTGCAAATTCGTTTTTCTGAATTCGCGAACTCATTTTTTGAATTCGAGAATTCAATTCTTGAAACCGCATAATCATATTTGTTCTTCTCTTGCGGTTCTTGCCCCTTTACTAGACCGATTTGGGCTTTCTTGAAGTCCAAATGCAGATTTCAAGTCGCTCATCTTCCTTGGGAGAACTTCATTAGTTGAGCATCGCACCATTGGAGAGATCGAAATATGCAGAATTCAACTAACAAACTAATACTCACCAGATTAAGGTTTGAGTATTATGATTTGTAAATGATTGAAGAGTGCACACCTTCCTCTTCATTGTTATCAACCAAATCTGGATAAGGCTGCTTTCTATGCGAGTGACTTTGTCTTCACAAGAAGACTCATCCACCGGAGCAGGATTGAGCATTTTGGGCTTTTCCTCCCTCTTCAAAAATGTTGAGTAACTTTGCCTAGGGTTTTCTAGACTATATAATACTGTAAATTGTCTTTTGTCACTTGGACCAACCGTGGTTTGGGGTGGGCTTTTGGCATGGCCATCTAGGTTTTGGGTTGGGCTTTAGTCATAGCCCTTTGTTTTTGTTCATATTTTGGCTGGTTTGCCCTGTGTATATTTTTAATTCATCTGTAACGACCCGGTCATTTACCTCCCTTTTCTTTTTCCTGAAATTTTACGAATGAATTTTTTTCGTTTAATTTTCCTTTCTGAACTCTGTTTCTTGTCGTTTAGTGTCATCTCGAATGCTTGGAAATGATTTCTGAGACTCTTTTCTGTGGATTGACAACTTCCTTTGAGGGCCGAGTCATTTCTGCATTTTCACTTTTCGGACACTAGCGCTATTTCGTCCTTTTCCCTATTCTGTCTTATCTCCATTTGTCATTTGTTTGGCAAAACCTCACTTTTCATGCTCGGAGTTGGTTTTTGACTTCGCGTGTCTTCATCTTGAGTAGTTTTCTCGAAATACGTATCTTTACTTTTGTAAAAAAGTACTCTGGTTGCTCCCGGTGTCCATAGGGGCATGGATGCACAATTCTTTGGAATTATTTTATTTTCTTGGGGCTTTTTTCGTAAATATCTTTTAAAGATATTTTATTTTAGGGGTATCTAAGAAAATATCTTTTGGAAGATATTTTCATTCTGGGGCAGTTTCGCAGTTAACTCTTTTTGTAAGGGCCATTGTGCAATTAACGAAAGTTATTGCAAAATACCTCGTCTGGAGCCTGGATCTTCGTACGGGATTCATTTTCACTTTTCATTGACTCATAAATTCATAGAATTTCCTTCTGGTCGTTTTTCTCCAGTTTCAGAGTTTCTGGATCCGGTTGCCGCTGAACTTGTTCGGGGCATATCTTTCTGCTCAGGACTCAGTTTTTGACGCCGTTTC